ATTCTGCCAACCGACCCACACCATCCCGAGTTGAGGTCAGCAGCGCACCATCCCCACCATAAATAGTGTTGGTGGCGAACCRCCTCGACCCACCACCAAAGACATCGGATGGTGGACCAGAATCTCCTCGAAGCCGTATGGAAGTCTTTTTCCATGGCCTCTCCGAACTCCTCCTATGCCCAAATTTTGCCTCAGCGACCACCTGAGCCGCAATGCGCTTGGACTGCTGATAGCTATCGGCTGCTTTCAGAGTCCCACAGGCCAAAAAGACCCAATAGGACTCCTTCTTCAGCCTGACAGCATCCCTCACCGCCTATGTCCACTAGTGGGTTCAAGGGTTGCCACCACGACAGGCACCAACAACCTTACGGCCACAGCTCAAGTAAGCCGCCTCGACAATGGAGGCGTGGATCATGGCCCACTCGGACTCAATGTCCCCCACCTCCCCCAGAACGTGTTCAAAGTTCCCCCGGGGGTGCGAGTTGAAGCTCCGTCTGACGGGAGACTCTGACAGATGTTCCCAGCAGACCCTCACTATACGTTAGGGTCTGCCAGGTCTGACCGGCGTCCTCTCCCACCACCGGAGCCAACTCACCACCAGGTAGTGGTCAGTTGACAGCTCCGCCCCTCTCTTCACCTGAGTGTCCAAAACATGCGGCCGCAGATCAGATGAAACGACATCAAAGTCAATCATCGAACTGCGGCCTAGGGTGTCCTCGTGCCAAGAGCACATATGGACACCCTTGTGTTTGAACATGGTGTTCGTTATGGACAATCCACGACCAGCACAGATAACAGAACACCGCTCGGGTTCGGAGGGGGGGGGGGGGGGGGGGTCCTCCCAACCACACCCCTCCAGGTCTCACTGTCATTGCCCACATGAGCGTTGAAGTCCCCCAGCAGAACGAGGGAGTCCCTGTTAGGAGCACTCTCCAGCACCCCCTCCAAGGACTCCAGAAAGGGTGGGTAATCTGAACTGCTGTTAGGCGCTTAGGCCCAAACAACAGTCAGGACCCAWCCCCCGACTTGTAGGCGGAGGGAGGCTACCCTCTCATTCACTGGGTTGAACCCCAACATACAGGCACCAAGATGGGGGGCAATAAGAATACCCACTCCTGCTCAGCGCCTCTCAGCATGGGCAACTCCAGAGTGGAAGAGTGTCCAACCCCTCTCGAGGAGACTAGTTCCAGAGCCAGAGCGGTGCATCAAGGTGAGTCCAACTATATCTAGTCAGAACCTCTCAACCTCACACACCAGTTCAGGCTCCTTCCCCACCAGAGAGGTGACATTCCACATCCCTAGAGCCAGCTTCTGTAGCYAAGGATCAGACCGCCAAGGTCCTCGACCTTGACCACTGCCCAACACACAATGCACCGACCCCTTTGGCCCCTCCCACAGATGGTGAGCCCATGGGAAGGAGGACCCATGTCTCCTCTTCGGGCTGTGCCCAACTGGGCTCATGGGCGAAAGCCTGGCCACAAGGCGCTCGCCAACGTGCCCCACCTCCAGGCCTGCCTCCAGAGTGGGGCCTTGGTGACCCGCATCTGGGTGAGGGAACATTAAGTCCATTTGAGGCACTCATCATAAGGGGTCTTTGGGCTGAACTTTGTCTGATCYGTCATCTAGGACCTGTTTGCCTTGGGTGACCCTACCCGGGGCATGAAGCCCTCAACAAACATAGCTCCTAGGATCATTGGGACACTCAAACCTCTCCACCATGATAAGGTGGCAGTCCAGGGAGAGAAGCTATTACTAACGCTAATGCTAATTTTACAAAAGTCTATAATTCAGCCTTTTTTTAACATAGACCCTTTAACAAAATCTACATGCAAATACAAAATCCAAGAATCCCACCCACTTGTCAATTATTTGGCGGTGGCACCTGGGATGGTCAATCAGGTTCAAGGGATGGCAAGTGCCACCCGTCTGGCTCTGCCCCTGTCCATGAGATTAAAGATCCTGGATCTCAGTACAATTCAGGATATCTCAGTAGACCTTCTTAAAATCCAGCAGCTTTCAGATGATCCACGCAGTGTGTATCACTCTACCTCTACAGTCAGACTGAGCCAATGGATCCAAGAAGAAATATCTCATGACTCAGCAGATTCTAGGATCCACTCAACATTCAGCAGGTTTAAGAGGATCTTCCAGTGGAACCCCTTAAAGCAGGGCTGACAAACTCATTTTCACCGAGAACCACATCAGCATCATTGCAGTAATTAACTTCCACGCTTTGTGCGTTTTGAGCCCCGCTAACAAACACTAACTGAGCTCTACCTGGTATTTCCTGCACAGAAAAAGCATTTTAACACGTCCTCTTATAAACACTGAAAAGTACTATATGTATGACTGAATAAACATGAAACAAATTAAACAAAAATACTATTAAAAGTAAAAGTAAGAGAGTTTTACTGTAGTGAGGACCTGCCATCTTGAACTCTGTGCTTTCCCACTTTGCGACAGGGAATTCCTACGTAAGGGGGCGTTCCAGTTCAAATATACGACTTGTAGGTTGGAAATTCCCACTTCCCTGTTCAACTGGACTGCAGCAAAAATGTAGCGAAATGGAAGTTTTCTCTGGATGCCGGCTACTTCTGAACCCTGTGCAGCTCCACCTGGAGGTGGGATGTTGTCATTTTACAGGTAAAATAACCCTACCCAGAGGACATTCTGTCATCAGTTACAATAAAATAATAACTAATAGTTCAGTAGATCCAAAAAGAAACACATACAGTCCATAATAGGTGACTTTATGATCCAGTAGATGCAAAAATATCCTCCTAAAGTCCAAAATATCCCAGCAGATCTACAGTTCAGATATAAAGCAATCTCCTGCATTCCAGCAGATCTCGTATAATCTAGAACATATAGATCTATCTTGTTTGTGTTTTAATAAGCGTCTGATGTTAGTTAAACAACAGGAAGCAGCTCTGTGTTAAGGTACAGCATGTTCTGACACACACACACACACACACACACACACACACACACACACACACACACACGCAGCCTGCTGCTGCTGCTGCTGAATAATTCAGCGCTGCAGGAGAAAGTGCTCTGTCACCACAGAAACCTTGTCCTCTCTGAGGACAGATTGCTCCAGCTTTCACTCAGCTGATGCATGCATCAGCCTGTCTTGGATCAATTCTCTCTTTAAATTCCTCCAGTTATTGATTTTCAAAAGGCTCGGAGAATAAAAACTGGATAATAAATCATTTTATTCATTATATTATGACAAAAGATCTGATGTGTTTCTGACCATAAAATCAGACTGGAGGTGAATCTTTAACTGTCGCCTGCACTGAAGGCCTGACTGTAGCTGCCTGTGTCTGAGTGTTTGTGTCTCTTATTTATTTAACAAACTTATTACATACGGCCACCACAGCTAAGCACCATTAGCAGACATTAAACAGATATAATTAACGAGGGTGAACAGTCAAAGGTAAATAAAACATTTTAAAGTTTTTCAAAATATTTTGCAGAAAATWTTGATTCTTAAAAAGCTGTTTTAGGTTTTAGTTACACCTGAAAGAAATGTTGGATGTTCAGCACTTTGTGATTGTGTGATGTCATCACTCTGCGCTTCAGTGCAGTTTGTCTGCTGCTGGTGAGGAAGAGGAGGAGGTCAGGTGATGATGAAGCAGCTTCATCACTAAAGCTTTTCATGCTAAATAAAACAGAAAGGCTACATGATGCATCCATCCATCCATCCATCATCCATCCATCCATTCATCCTTCCATCCATCTTCATCCATCCATCCATCCATCCATCCATCTTCATCCATCTTCATCCATCCATCCATCTTCATCCATCCATATTCATCCATCCAGCTTCATCCATCCATCATCCATCCATCCATCTTCATCCATCCATATTCATCCATCCAT